GTTCTTCTTCTCCTCTCCTCTTCTTCTCTTCTCTTCTTCTCTTCAATCTTTATTTGTTTTCTCATTAAAACTTAAAACAGATTGTAGTCTTGTTCAACTACTTGGTATTAGAGCACGATCTAGGGTTTTCATGTGAGTCTAATCCAGCCGACCACATGAGAATTATCTAGGGCTGGAAGTTTAGAAATATCATTCTTTTCAGCTGATTCTTGGAGGTTACTAGAAGTCTTTAGCAGCTGTCCAAAGATTGGAGAGTGTTCTTGGTAATCAGGAAGAATTAGAGAAGAATAAAGGGATCAAAATTAGTTTTTTGATCAAGATTGAAGGTGCTGATCAGAATTTTCTGCTTAAGTTAGAATCTCTTCTTGAAACCGGCAGCAGTAAGAGATAAGTTGGAATTCATCTTTTCATGAAGTAAGTTTTTTTCTTGAGATCGATATTAAAAAAAAAATCATCTTTTTTTATTCTGAGAGGTGCGGCTGGAAAATCTCTTCTTTTTCACCTGTTTTTTAAGAGGAAAACCTAAAATTCAGGTCTGTTATTGATTGTGGCAGCAGTAGTTGGACTTGCTTCTTTCAATCTGAGTTTTTTTTTGCTCTTTGGAAGATCCAGTAGAGCTGCTCATTGTTTCTGGGTAACTGCTGAATCTAAATCATCCTCCTAGGTCGGCTGTTATCAGTTTGGGTACAGTTTCTCCTATTACAATGATTAAAAAAAGTGTTTTTTAATTAACTCCTAACCAGGATGGAGTTTAAGAACCAAGGGGAAGGTGTTTTTGGGGCTGGTGGTTCAGGTAAAATGTTTGAGAACACCTTTCAGATTACAACTATTAAGTTTGATGGATCAAACTACTTAGAATAGGCCCAATCAGCCATGATGGCCATTGGGGGTAGGGGAAAACTGAACTATTTGTTAGGGGATGTGAAAGAACCAACTAAGGAGGACCCAACTTATGCCAAATGGGTTCAAGAGAACTATTTGGTGATGACATGGCTGTGCAACTCTATGCAGCCACATATCAGCCAAAACTATTTGTAGGCAAAAACAACCAAGGAAATAATGGGATGTCATAAAAGAGACTGATGAGAATAAAATTTGTCATATCTTTATCCCTCAATATTCAGTATTTTACACTTAATTGGTACCTAATTGGACTCATTACTCTTGTATTTTGATTCAGGGCAARCAAGAAGGAGATTGGAAGAAAACAAGGCTAATCGGATGATTTTGCACAGTTTCGGCACCGATCCGTGATCTGGGGATAACTCTCAATTCCAGACTCCGATTTGGACAATTCAAGAAGCACTGGAAAGATAAGGAAAAAGCCCACAACTTTTATGTTTTGGGTTTTGGCAGAATCGGTCCGCATCGAAGACGAATTCGGGCCCAAAGTCAGAGTAATTTCGCAACAAAGCCCATTTCATAAGCTCAAGCCCATTTCGCAAAAGAGTCTTGAAGCAAGCCTGAATTGTTAAAGAAGCCCAGTTCGAATTCAAAATCCAAGAGTCCCATTATAATAGAAGTTGAATGTAATCTCAATAAAAGAGTTTTATCAGATTTAAATTCTCAAATTGTAATCCTAGAAAGATAAAAGATAAGAGTTAGATAGGATAAGTTCAAATTAGATTAGGACTT